ATTCCTTCATACTCTGCTCTAATCAAGCAACATGGAGACCGTGTTCAGTCCTGGGAGCCCTATTTTAATAAGGACATTAACAAGCAAGATCTCATTCAAAGGAAAGTAAGTAGGATAATGACAGGACTTGCAATCAGTCGTTGAAGGAAAGAGGGCCTTTTAGCCTAAAGGAGAGAAGAGTTACACAGAAACCATAGCTGTCTTCAAGTAGCTGATGAGCTGCCTTATGACAAAGGGTTCGATTTGTGTTACTCAGCTCCAGAGGGCAGAACCAGGAAAAAAGGGTAAAAGTTGCAGAGGCAACTCTCTGACTCTACGTAATAAAAAACTTCCTAATAATTAGAGCTGTCCAAAAGACTGTCCTAGACTCTCTTCAGTTTTCATATACACTCTTAGTGATTTTGTAACTCCCATGGGTTCAATTATTATCTCTATGCACATGACTCCCAGATTTATACATCTAGCCCTAGTCTTTCTCTTAAGGGTCCAGTCCGATATCTCTACCTAGATGTCACATCTCAAATTCAATACGTCCCAAACAGAGCACATTATTTTAACTGATCCTCCCCCATCCTTCCAATCATCCAGATTCACAACCTCAAAGTTTTCTTTGACTTCTTCCTCTCCCCTATCTAATCAATGGCCAATTCTTAATAATCCTATCTCCAGAACATCTTTCTCAAATAGGTCCCCCTTTCTATACTCACATAGCTATCACCCCAGTTCAGGTACACATCATTTCTGATGAGCTTTTTCACTGGCTGGAGTCCTCTCCATCCTCTGCCTCCTGCCTGGCTTCCTTCAAGTCCCAGCTAAAATCTCATCTTCTACGAGAACCCTTTCCCTATCCCCCTAAATTCTAGTGCCTTCCCTCTACTGATTATCTCTAAATTATCATATATGTGTGTGTGTGTGTGTGTGTGTGTGTGTGTGTATAGTTATGTCTTGACTTTCACATTATTGTTTGTATTTTGTCTGCCTCATTAGACCGCATTCCTTGAGAGCAGGGACTGTCTTTTGCCCTTCCTTGTATCCCCAGGACCTAACACAGTGCCTGGCACACAGTAGGCCTTAAGAAACATTTATTAATTCATTGACTAGATTAACATCTCCTAACTAGACTCAGCTTTCAGCCTCTCCCCTCTCCAATTCATTAACAAGGCAACTGCCAAAGTACTCTTTCTAAAACAGGTCTGACAATGCCATACACCCCACCTCCAACAGCATCATCAGCATTTCCCTACAGCTTCTAAGATAAAATCAAACTCCTCTCTCTACTTGGCTTGTAAAGTCTCTCACAATCTGGCTACAATTGACATTTGCAGGCTTGCTGCACCAGGATACCCCTTCACGCCCTCTGTGTTCTGGCCAGACTGGCTCACTTGCCATTCTTCTAACTTCACATTCCCTCTTGCTCTTCTGACTTTGCATACACTGCTTCTCTTGCCTAGAAAGCCCTTCCTCCTCACTTCAACCTCTTGGAATTCTGAGCTTCCTCCAAAATTCAACTCATTTACCACCTTCTAGGGGAGGCTTTTCTGATCCACCTAGTTGTTAAAGACCTCTCTCTCTCTGTCCCCTGCATATTGGACAGTGTGCAGAAGATGTCTTCAAACAGAGGCTAGGTGGCCATTTGTCTTATGGTCAATGTCTCTAGATCTCGGATTTTCTCCTTTGTGAAAATAAAGGGGTTGGCCTAGAACAGGGATTCTTAACCTTAAGTCCGTGAACCTGTTTTTTAAAAAAATTTTGATAACTATACTTCAGTAATCAGTTTCCTTTTTCAATCCTACATGTTTATATATTTTTAAAAAATGATTTTGAGGAGTCCATAGGCTTCACCAGACTAAATGTGAAAGGGGTCCATGATAAGGTTAAGAACCTCTAGCCAGGGGCAGCTAGGTGGCGCAGAGCACCGGCCCTGAAGTCAGGAGGACCTGAGTTCAAATCCGGCCTCAGACCTAGCACTTGACACTTACTAGCTATGTGACCTTGGGCAAGTCACTTAACCCCAATTGCCTTTTAAAAAAAAGCCAAAAAAAACCCACCTCTAGCCTAGAAGGTTCTCTAAACCCCCATTCAGCTATGAATACTAACAGCTGAAATTTATATAATGCTTTAATGTTTCAAAGTACTGAACACATATTATCTTACTTGATTCCTCAAACAACCTTGCAAAGTAGGTGCTATAGTTATCTCCATTTTGCAAATTAGAAAACCACCGCTGAGAGGTTAAATGTCTTGTCACAGATATCATCTCAGGTAGAAGTCCAACCCAGGTCTTACTGAATCCAACTGCTCTATCCATTACACCAAACTACCTCTCAGTGAAAAGGTAACAAAGCCCCAAAGGGGCAGGCAACATGCTAACAGAGGGCTCTGAGGAGAAGCAGACAATGCCTCAGTGACATGAAATTCTATGGGCCCAGAGAAAGAATTCGGCTTGCCCAAAATCACCCAGCCAGTTGGTGACAGAAACAGGGCTGGAAACCCAAGTCTCCTGACTTCTGGTTCAAGTCTCTTCCCTATCCCTAACCCACCTTTCCCCTCTCCCTTCTATGCCCATACCCTCTAATTTAGAATCAGGAGCACTGGGTTCAAAGTCTGGCTCTGCTAATAATGGTAAAGAACTGGAACTAAGGGAGTGCCCCTCAATTGAGAAATGGCTGAATAATTCAGAGTACATGAAGGTGATGGAATATGATTGTGCTCTTAAAAAGAAAAAAAAAGGTGAAAGGGACGGTGTCAGAGAAATCTAGAAAGATTTGTGTAATTTATACAAAGCACTTTTCAAACTTTAAAGTGCTATATTAAATGCTAACTACCGTCATCTTCACAGGTTTTGGTTATCTGTGGGTTGGCCATCGATAATTAAATGGGAATTTTTAGAGATCTGCGGTACACTGCGGAAAATCACAGATGACTTGTATATATAAAGAAAACTTTAAAAACTTTAATAAGTCATAAATGCACAAATACTGCATGTTATAATCTATTTTATAATTTATTCCTATAAGTACACATACATAAATTTATTATTAACAGTGAGATTTTGTTAAAAGTTTCAGTGTGCTAAAGAATTACAGGCTATGCACTCTTTGGGGATGCCTCTTCTTTGTCCCTCTACCATCTAGAGTCAGTCACATGATTTTCTCCCCCAGTGATCACTGTATCTAGGGCTTTTCCTGGAAAGAATTCTGTGAAGCAGCAACTGTAGCTGCACAGGAGGCTGCAAAGACTATGCACAGTGTGTGAGATAACTAATCTCTGTCTAGTAGAAACTGCAAATTTTTTATGGGTGCAGTGTGTTGTTTTACATGTTTTTTGTGTTAAATAAATATGGTCAGAATTATTTTTTAAAAAAGTTTGGGCTGGGGCCTAGATGGGTGGCAGAGAGACCACCAGGTCTGGAGTCAGGAAGACTCATCTTTCCGGCCTCAAACACTTACTAGCTGTGTGATCCTGGGCAAGTCACTTACCCCTGCTTGCCTGTTTCATCATCTGTTAAATGAGCTGGAGAAGGACAAACCACTCCAGGATCTTTGCCAAGAAAACTGTAAATGGGATCACAAAAAGTCGGACATGACTGAAAAATGACTGAACAACAACAAGTGGGGCCTAGAGTTATTTGAGGCTTTTCACATTTGCAGGGGTCCCGTGCCCCTAACCTCTGCCAGCGTCAAGGGATGACTATGTTATTACTGCTGTTGTATGAACTGATGCAAAGTAAGCCTAACCAGAAGAACAATTTATATAACAACATAATAAAGACAAACAGCTTAGAAAGACTTTTAAGAACACCATTCACTGCAAAAACCAAGCACAGCTGTAGAGGACTTAAGGATGAATCAGGCTACCCACCTTCCCACAGAAAGGTGATGGACTCAGAGTACAGAGTGAGACATATTTTTTGGACATGGCCAACAGGGAAATGTGTTTTGCTTGACTATACATATTTGTTTAAAAAAAAAAGGGTTTTGTTTTATGCCACCTACTTCCTGGTAGTGAGATGATAGCCTCAAGGTTCAGATTGATAACATCTATATTTATACATACAGCAGTCAAGCAAAACAGATTCCTGTACTGGCCATATCTCTCTCTCTCTCTCTCTGTGATTTTTATTGCTCAGTTGTTTCTCATATATGAGCGTGTGTGTGTGTGTGTGTGTGTGTGTGTGTGTGTGTGTGTGTGTGTATCTGTGTGTGTGTATATATATATATATATACGTATGTATATACACATATAGACAGGCCCCAGTTACCTCATATGTATGTATACATGCACACATATATACAGGACTCAGTTTCCATATGTACGAATGTGTATACGTATGCATATATTCGTGTTTTTATATATATATGTACATAAATACACAGACAGGGCTTCAGTTTCCTCATGTGTATTCATCCATATATCCACATGTGCGTCTATATGTATGCATATAAACAGAGAGGGACGGCCAACGTGGGAATTTGCTTTGCTTGGCTGCACACACCTGTAACAGCTTGGTTTTGTTTTTCTTTTTTCTGGCTTCCTCAATTTGGGGAGGGGGGTGAGGATAGAGGGAGAGAATGCAGATCTGAAAATAAAATAGAATCATGAAAAAAAACCACAGGTTTTATTTTTCTTTCCTTTTTCATGGGGGTGGTGCAGGAAGAGAAGGTGGGCTTTTGTTCACTGAAAGAAATAAAGGTGGATTTTTGTTTTGTTTTGCTTTAACCCGGGCTCTGCTCCTCACTCCACTCACTAAGAGCACAACTGGAGAGCTGGCTGGGGAGGCTGGGAGCCCCTCGGGGCGTGTGACCTTGGCCAAGTCCCTTGCACCTCCAGGCCTCAGTTTTCCCCCTGTCAGGTGGGAGGAGGCTGGTGTGGAGACGCTTGCCAGCTCTCGCAGTCAGTCCGCCGATTCCCCGCCCTTCCCCGCTCCCCCTCCCGTGCCCCCACCCCCTTCCCCGTCCCCTCCCGCCGGCGCGGCGGGCGCGGCCTAGCCCCGCACTCACCCGGATCCCCTGCAGCACCCGCACCCGCTCCTCCTCGTCTACCCCGAAGGACACCTTGCGGGGAGTGCTCTCGGTGCTCCCCATCCCCGCCCTCCCAGAACAAAGACCCCCGGAGAGGTTCCGGAGGCGAAGGGGAGCAAACGGGAACAAACTGTTTCTTCCACAGGACCCTAGAACCCGCTTCAGGACTCCCTGTTCCCTCCAGCTCCCTCAGTCTCCGTAGCGAGCCCCCGCTAACAAGACCTCGTCTTATTGGCTGCCGGCGGACGGGCAGCCAATCGCGAAGGGCTTCCTTCGCGAGGCATTCTGGGAATTGTAGTCTTTTTTTTCCCGCCCCCCCTTCCATGGGAGGTGCTGCCCCACGGAGCCCCGCCCCTCCAGGCGTCTAAATCCAAAATCAATCCCCCAAGGGGTTGGGGGTCCTCGCGGCCTGCGGGGCGGGGTGTCAGAAAAAGTGTAGTCCAGCCGGGTGGCCGGCGTCCCTTCTACACCCGGCCCGGTGTAGCTATAATCAGTCATTTCACGCTGGAGAGGCAACACATGGTGCATAGGGCACAGTCATGGTATCACAGGTCCGGGGTTCAGGTCCAGCCTTAGCCTCTCCAGCTGTGTGTCCTGGGCATGTCACAGATCTAGAGCGGGGAGGACCTCAGAGTCCACCTACTCCAACTCCGCCACCACCCTCACCCCCATTTTACATTTTACATTTTACAACTGAGGCCCAATGACTTGCCTAAGGTCACACACTTGCTCAAAGTCACCTACATAATCAGCATCAGGAGCAAAATTTTAGCCCAGGTCTTCTGACCCCAGAGCCAGAGCTCTGTCCATTGCTCCAGCCTCTCTGAATTTGTTTATTGATCTCCAAAATAAAGATAATAATCCCTGTTCTGTCTAGGGATGCTGAAAAGCCAAAATCAGATAAAGTCTATAAAGTGCTTCATAAACCTTAAAGCACTTTATATAAATGCCAGCAATTGTTCTTCTAGATACAGAAAAGAACCATGTGCCACTTTGCCTTCACTGACCTCCCACACTGACAGCCTACCATACACCCTAGCTCTTGCTGACATATAGAAAGTGCTTAATAAATGCTTTTTGACTCACTGGTGCCCTTTCTCCTGATAATTTCAAATTTATTCTGTCTGTATTTTGTTCGTGCATAGTTATTTGCATGTCCTCTCCCTCATTTGACTGGGAACATCTCAAGGGCGTGGACTATCTTTAGCCTTTCTTTGCATCCCCAGCACTTAGCCCCTTAGTTCCTGGCACCTAGTAAATGCTTTAAAAATGTTTATTGATTGCTTGCACATTGCCTTCTTCAATCTGTCATTGGTTTGTACATCTTGTCTTTTTCATTTGGTTTGGTTTTGTTTTTGGCCAGGACCAGGCAACGTGGTTTAGTAGAAAGAGCACTAAGTCTGGAAGTCTCAGCATCTGAATTTAAATCCTAGCTCTGTCATTTATTAATTACTTGTTCCAGGGCATCTTTTCAATAGATTGCAAAATGTTTTGACCCAAGGAAGGAATGTCACCAGGAGCCTCAAAGTCTATTTGTATGGGGACTTTCCAAAATGGTGGAGAGTGATTGCTTGATACTCTACTCCCATGAAGGTGGAGTTGGTGAGAACTAGAGAGGAGAGATCTCTTCCTCCTGGGCTTCTGGCTTCCAGCTTAGAGAGAGAAGATGTACTCTTCTATACTCTCTCCAGATCCCTGAGCAAGAGAGAGACTGGGAAGAAGCCAACATCTAGAGGACATGGAAATCTCTACCATGTCCCTATCTTCAGCTTGCAATAGGAAGATTGGATTAGATGACATTTAAGGTCTCTTCTAGTTCCAAACCCTACATCATCTGGGTAGGAAACATCCCATGTGGAAACTCTCTTCACTAATTCAGATCCACAATTTCCTGCAAATTGTAGGGTTTCCTAAGGCATCAAGTTAAAATAAATTTACTAAGGTAAATTACCCAAGCAGATTAATATAAAACGGAATCAGGATTTGAATCCAGGTCATAGAATTATAGATCTAGAACCAGCAAGTGTCTCGGAAGGAATCTAATTCAACTCTCTCATTTTATATAAGAGAAAACTGAGGCACAGAGAGGTTAAGGGACTTACTTAGGGTCACACAAGTCAGTACAATCATCAATGTCAGGATTTGAAATCAGGTCCTTGGATCCCAGAGTAAGTGTTCTTTCCAAAACTATCCCTCTAGCCATTATACAATACTACCCACAATAATAACAATAAAAACTTGCATATATTTAGTACTTTAGAGTACTTAAAACATATCCGTGGAATACTATGGTGCTGTAAGAAATGATGAACAGAATGGTTTCAAAAAAACCTGAGATTTATATGAACTGATGCAAAGTGAAGTGAGCAGGACCAGGAGACCATCGTACATAGTAATAGAAATATTATAAGGATGATCAATAGTGAAATACTTAGCTATCTGATCAGTACCATGATCCAAGACAATTCTGAAGGATTAATGATGAAAAAATGCTAGCTACCTCCAGAGAGAGAAAACTGAGTACAGATTGAAGCATAATTTCTTTTTTGTTTTCTTTATTTTTCTTGCCATTTTTTTCAACATGGCTAATATAGAAATGTATTTTGCATGATTTCATATGTATAATTGATATCACATTTCTTGCGTTCTGTTATGGTGAAATAAAGAAGACAAATTTCATTCAGACAAATTTCATCCAGGCAAAGGCATGTGATTACAGAAATAAATCAGGTCCAAGCCTCTCGGTAGCCAAGGGCCCAGAACCTGGGCTTCTACACAGTTAATATGCAATTTGGAGGGAGTGAAAAACAGGATTTAGGGATTAAAACATCCCGTTTCTTATTGGGGGAGAGGATCAGGAGACATTGAGGTGAGAAGGTGAGGAGTAGTTTTGTTACATTTCTTAAATAAAATGATAGTTGGGAGGGAGAATAATCTTGTGATTTCTCCAAAATCAGATGACTTACATGAAGTTGAGACTTAACTTCACAAAATGGTAGATAAAGGGCAAAATGAAGTTACCCATGCTATTTTTTTTTAATGTAATACTTCTCAATGGGTAAGGAAGGAGAGGAGGGAAGGATATAATTTGGGACTCAAAAAATTTGTAAAACAAATGTTAAAAGTAAGCAAATAAAAATTTGATTTTTAAATGCCTATTAGTCAGTACACACATTCCAAGAGAGATGAGAAAATTAAAGCTGAAAGTTTAAGGGACTTGCCCGAAATCATGAGGTTAGTACATATCAGAGCTTTCACCTGCTAAGGGGCACATTCATATACTCCACAGGGAGAATCGACCCAACGCCTACACAAAGGCTCACATCCTTTAAATTCCTTAGGTTGGTCAGAGACTTCCTTGGATGAACCCACTGCCGCTGCTATCTCAGAATAGTAGAACCCTTCCTGCAACAGATCGAGGGTTCCTTCTTGGCCCAAGAAACCAAAATGATCATGGACAGAGTTCATAGCCATGGATCAGCAAGCGTGGGGTATTCATCACTAATTGTCTTCTCATGCTTCATATAGGACCATTTACTTTGTGATGTTGTACTCAACAGCAGAGTTATGACTAGTTCCTTAATGATACTGTACCATCAGCAGTGACAGGTTTAATTCCGCTGGGGTCTACCCCTTTTCTCTTGCCCTGTATTCTAACTTTTTTATTATTTTTTTCTAGTTTTTATTAAATGCTTTATTAAAAACTTAATAACAAACATCATTACAACTAAGCTTGCTTTGTAACTATTTATGCTTTGATTTTTAATGAATCTAATATTATAACTTTTTAGTCAAAATCTCCAAATAAATCTCCAATGGGATTGTTTGTCGATTCATTCTCATTCATATTTTCTATCACATGTTGTAAATGGTATGTACTTTCTTCTTCTGATTCTGCTTTTTTCTTATTTTTAAACTTAATTTTTCTTGGGGGTTTTTTTTGTTTTACCACAATTTATTTTAATACATCCCTCCTCATTCCCTTAACAAGGAAATAATCCCCTATAATAAAGATTTTAAAAGAATGAAAAAAAAAGACAGTTTAGGAAAATCAACTGACACATCGCTGATGTTTAACAGTATATGTGATGTTTCATATCCATATTACCCCATTTCTACAATGAAGGGATGAAGGAACATTTTCTCTGCTTCTGCTCTTTTTGATTTGTATTATTTCATAGAAAGCTTTCCAGATTTATTGCCAGATTTATTGTAAGTCTTAATTGCTTTATAGTGTTCCATTACACTAATGAAATGTGCTGCAATTTATTCAATCATTCCTCTATTGTTCAAGGTTTAGGCTGCTTCCAGGTTTTTTGCAATTACAAATTTAACCATCAAGTGAAATTGCCAGTTCAACAGGAAGGATCAGATTCAGGGTGCTCCCTTTTTCATCCTGAAGATGATAGTATTATACCATGCTGAGTGGAGGTATTAGAACCATACCAAGTTCACTATGGTTCTCATAGAATGGACAACCTTTTATTTCCAAATTCCATCTCCCTACAAGCAGCAAATCCATTCTATTTCCAGGGGACATGACTTATTGTGGATTTATCCAATCAGAATCCGCTTGCAAGTCTCTATCTCTGGAAAACTGAGCTGGCTTTGGAAAGTAATACATAACATAATGTCTACCATATTAGTAGTCCATAAGCATTTATTGAGTATGTTCCAGGCACTGTGTTAAGCACTAAGGGTATAAAGAAAAGAAAAAAAAAAAGGTTCCTCCCCTCAAGGAGTTCACATCCTAATAAAGGAGGCAACCTGCAAGCAATCATATGCAAGCAAGCTGTAGACAGAATAAATTAGAAATTATCAACAGAGAGAGCTGGCATTAAAGGAGATTGAGAAGACCTTTTTATAGAAGGGGGGATTTTAGCTAGGAATTAGAGGAAGTCAGAGAGGCCAGGATGCAAGGATAAGAAGAAAAAAACGTTCTAGACATGAGGAATAACCAGTGAAAATGCATAGAGTCAAGAGGAAGAGCCAGTATGGCAGAATAGAGGGAAGAAGTGCAGCTGAATTCTTCCCCACAACTCCTCCACAAAGATCTAGAAAAGGCACT